CAACGAGCAGCAGAGGCCACCAAGGCCGGCAGCTGGCAGGAGCGGGAGAGCTGGGCCGGGGCCACCTGCCCGAGACCCCACGCGCATCTTTCCCAGGCGACCAAGTCCTTCCCTGCTCACCTGTCCTCAGTGGGGACACAGGGCCTGTGCCTCTCGGGCTAGGGACCTGGGGCCCACCCTTCACCGCCCGGGTGCCAGAGGCAGGAAGGGCTCGGCCGATCCAAGCAAAGCGCAGACTCAGCCTCTGCCCAACCTCCCCAGCCAGGCTGGCTCCCTAGTCGTGGTCAGCGCCCACCCAGCCCCTCTGGGGTCCTCCAAGCCAGGCTGGCGGTAAGGGGAGGGGTCTCCTCCATGCTGATCCAGAAAGTGAGCTGCTTAAACACCAGGTGCCGTGGGGCACCAACCAGAAGCACAGGGAGGGCCGCACAGAGCCACACACCCTGCCAGGGCCCCCCCTGCCCCCGACCAACCTCTGGGGACACCTCCCCAGGCCCCTGCATGGAGGTCCCAGAGGCGGGTCCTGCCGAGTCTGGGCATCCGGCCAGCCCAGCCCCTGACCAGCTCTCCAAGGTGAGCAGACCTCACGCTCTCCGGACCTGGGAGTCCATTGTCGTGTGATGGCAGCTGGTGTCCCTGAGCAAATGGTGGAGAGCGGTGCTCAGTGAGGAGCGCGCCGGGGGACAGCAGAGGGAGGGCAAGAGGAAGCCGGGAGAAGGTGAGCGCAAGGACGGGAGCCAAGCTGTTGGAGCAGGAGAGCCGATGGAGGGAGGAGGGTGGGAGGGGTGACAGGGTGATGCCCTTGATGGCCCAAGCAGGGTGATGGCCCCAAAGAATGGCCGGCGCCGCTCAGGAACAGCCACCGAGCCTCCTCCTGCAGCCCCCAGGGGAGATCACCGGCCCTGGGAGCCTGCCTGGGGCGTGGGGTCCAGGGCCCAGCCGGGTGGGGAGGAGGTAATGATGGGTGAGGAGGGTTGGGGACCCCTGACCCCCAAAGTGGCCTGAATGCAGGGCCTCGTGGCTGTGGACCATCTTGCAAAGGCCACTGGTGGGCAACCAGAGGTCCCAGGCCCGCGAGGCTCAGCAGACTCTCTGAGCTCAGCTCAAGGGCCCTGCTGGCTAGAATCCCCACGCCCCACGCCCGCACCCCAGCCCCCACGGGCAGCGAGTGCCCCACACTGGCCACTGAGAATGTTCTGTTCAGCAGCTCATCACTCACTAAGCACTAAGAGGAAGACAAAATCAAAACCAACCTTTAGGGGTACCTGGGTGGCAGCTGCCTTCAACTCAGGCCCTGATCTCAGGGTCCTGGGATCGAGCCCCACATTGGGCTCCCTGTGCAGCAGGGAGTCTCCTTCTCCCTCTGCCTGCCCCTCCCCTCTGCTTGTGCTCTCTCTCTCTGAAAAATAAATAAAATATTACAAAACAAAACTAACCTTTTTCTCACACTCGACCCACACGTAAGTGGACGTTCGTGATGCTCAAGGGAAAAGACCCCTGGCCGCTGTCCCTCGGGCCGTGAGCTGTAAAATTGTGCTTATTTCCCTCTCTAGGCTCGTCTGTAGGCTCCAAGGGTCCCGAAATGAGCTTGAACTACTTCCAAAATTATCTTCCTAGTTACCACTAAGATTCTAAAACTATTTTACTTATTTGTAAAACAGGGGTCGGGGTGGGTAGAGGTTTTCCAGCCATGATTTCAGTTTGTGGGTCTGGCCTCCACCGGGGGAGGGGGTGTCGGGGGAGGAGCCCCGTCCTTCTTATCCTCATCCGGAAACCCCTGACACAGCCGGGGCCTCGCTGCGACTGTCCACCAACCGGGCAGCATCTGGAGTTCTCCAACCGGGTGCTGAATCCCCCTTAACATTCTTGGCATCTCAGAAAGGCCCCAGGGTTCCAGGGTCTTTTTATTTTAAAATTTTTACTTGTAGTAAAATACCCAGGAGATCCGCATTCACGCTCTTGTGCACGTCACCTGCGGAACTTTGTCATCATTCCAAAGTGAAACTCTGTCCCTGCTAAACACTAACTGCCCGCCCCCGTCTCTGACCCCTCACGTCCCCCATCCTACACTCTCTGCCCTTTTGTGACTGGCTGACCCCACCTGGCTCCATGTCCCCCAGGCCCATCCACAGGGCAGCAGGTGTCTGGACACCCCTCCCATCTAAGGCGGCGTGACATTCCACTGCGGGGACAGACCCTCATCCGACGACGGACTCCCAGCCTGCCTCTGCGTTTTAGCTCCTGTGAATCACCACTATGAACACGAGTGTGCAAATGTCAGCCCTGGTCCCCCATTCGGGGAGCCAACCTCCCTCCCTCCTTCACTCCTCAGTGGTGGGGAAGGCAGACCCACAAACTCGTAATTTACACAGGTGACAAGCGGTTCAACAGAAGAATCGTCAAGGTCCCTGGCTCTGCCTGGGGCCATGGGGAAAAGCTCCCAAGTTGGGGGCGGAACCTTCCTCCAGCTTGGGAAGGAGACCGATGCAGGGGTCCCCGGACACAGGAGACCCAGGGGACCCAAGGGGGCCAAGCGCCCAGGGCCGGGAAGCCCCACCTGAGAATCTGGATTTTGTCCTTCCGTGATGGAATCAGGAGAGGGACGGAACAGTCACGCTTTTATAAAATGTGGGTGGAATTGGAGTATTCTTCCAGGAGAAAGCCCAAAAAGTCCTGATACTTTAAATTTAGAGGCTGTGCCACTCAGGGGGCTGAGACACAGGGGCAAGTGGGCATCCCTCCCGCCCTATCTCCCCCCACCCCCAGCTCCCACTCCATCCTCCTCCCTTCTCCCCCATGGTGGTCTGGTCTCTTCAGGGACCTCGCCCTGCAGGGCCATCCCTACCCTGGGACAGACCCCCTCTTCAAGACAAACTGTCCCCACGGCCCAGAGCCCTCCCGCCCACCCCCCACCCTGGAGTCCAGAACCAGGCAGCCCTAGCCACCCCCCCACGCACCGACCTCAGGACCCGTCTCCCCGCACACCAGGAGGGAGGCCAGGGAGGAGGGGAAGGGCTGCGAGAGAGGGGAGCACCGGGAGTCCCCAGAGAGTCCTGCTAACCCACAGCACATAATCCTGTTAAAATACTAATCCTCATTTAGCCGGAGGCGAGGCGGCGGCGGAGATAAAGCTCCTGAGCAGGAGTGAGAGGCCGCAGCCCGTGCCGGAGTGGACGGTGGCGCTAATGACCTGCTGTCGTGAGGTTGGGCCAGGCCCGGCGTCGGGAACAACCAGCAGCAGGCAGGTCCCCGTTGCAGTGGGCAAGGGGGTCACCACCGCCCGCAACAGCAGAGGGAGGGTGTTCACGGGGGGGGGGGGGGGCCGCCTATTCCCCCCAGCAGGGGGGGGGGGGAGGCTGCTTCTCTCAGCTCCTTCTTCCCCCCCACAGAGCCACTGGACAGCTGGACACGGGACTGCTGTGGCCCTTTGGGAAGGAACTGCCAGCCTCAGGCCACTGTCTCTCCCCACAGGAACACCACCGTGGCCAAAAAGATCATGATGCCTCCTGGTGGTGCACCTGCTGAGCCCAGGCCTGTCTGCGTGTGGCTCCTGATGGCCTCCCACTGCCCCCCAGACACCTGTCCCAGGCTCCATGGCTCAGGCCTCCCAGGGACACGAGGATGAAGCTCCCCGGCCAGCCCCCAGCCAGGGGTTCCCAGGGCCCCCCCTCCCAAGGCGGCTGGCATGGCAACGGCGGCATCAGGGTCCCTGTTAGGAAAGGGGCATCTGCCACGCCCCCAAGTCAAATTCTTTACTTCCATCCTGATGGCAACACTCCTCTCCAGGAAACAGTGTGTTGGCAACACCACAGCCACAGGGGCATGGACAGGGCACTGGGAGAGGCCCATTAGACCCAAGTTTGCCACGGGTCACCGTGGACATGGGGAACGTAGGGGATCAGGACTTCCACACGCCTTCAACAGAGAGGATGACCCCCGGCCAGAGCACCTGCTCCCGTGTCCAGCCCCCGGCCGGGGTGTCGGGGGCTCCCTGACAGGCCGCACCTGCCCAGGACTATCCTGGTTTGGAGACATCACTCTTCTGCTCACGTCATCCACGCCACCTTCCTGCCTACTGTGTGCCGGGCACTGTACCAGGAGACGGTACAGCCAGAAACAAGGGCACTGTCACTTGTCACACCCAACTCTTGGCCTCTAATATCAGTGCCAAGAAAAGGAACCAGGGTCCTTGAGAAATGCCTGATTCCAGGGCTGGGGTGGCAAACAGGGGAGGGGAGCCTGGACACCCTCTGGTCCTAGAGGACAAGGATGGGCTTGAGGACACAAAGCGCCTGGCATAACAAGGGACCCAGGAGCCCACAGAAAGAGCTCCCGGTGGCCAAAGAGGAAGAAGTTAGAGCAAGGGGATGGACAGGGAGCAGCGGGTTATAATCCCCACTGCGAAAGAGACATCCGTGAGCCCGCGCTGGCATAACTCACTAAACGGATGGACAAACGGGGAGAAGAGACGAGTCTCCCGCTCAGAACTCCAAAGAACCGGTGTAGACCCTCTGTCCCCATGGAGATGGGGCACGACCCCTCGCCCCCAAAGTGTGCGGGGCACACGGTGACCTTCCTTCCAAAGAACAGAGCGCGAGAAACGAGAACCGTCCTGCGGAGACACCCGGAGATGCGATCGTGGTGAAAAGGTCACGCCGAAGCGATGAGTCACGGTGATAAGACATACCCTTGATATGATATAATGGCAGCGACACTTTATCTCTGTGCCCCTCCCCACAAGCCCCAAAACCCCCGTGTAATCAAAGGAAAGAGAACAGATAATGCCAACAGAGGGACGCTCTACAGAACGCCTGACCAGCACTTCTCCAAACCATCCATGTCATCAAAAACAAGGAGTCTGAGGAACGATCACACCCCAGAGGGACGCAGGGACACGGTGATGACCTAACAGGATCCTGGAACAGGGCCAGGGCAGCAGGGCAGGCACGGAGTAACCTGAGCCTAACGAGGACTTGTCAACATCGAACAGGATGATGACTTACCCACACGCTCGCGCCGCCGTGCAAACACGCCGCAGGATGCAACATGTCACCAGCGCAGGAAACCAGGCGGGCGGCGCGCAGGAACCCGACCATCTTCGCGATGTTTCCACAAGCCTCAGGTTGTCGTCAAATAAAGAGTTTATTTTTAAAAAATGTTCTCCCTAACCAAAAGTACGGTAGATGTTTGCACAAATTCTCCTTCCAAGCAGCATATTTACTTGTCCAACAAGTACCGGGCGAAGCCTACTCTGGGCCGGTCCTCGTGCCAGGCTCCGGGGATGCGACGTGAACAGTATGGCAAGCCCCGTCTTCGGGGAGCGTTGGGTCTACCGTCTACCTGAAGGATGACCAATGTGCAAGAGGGCAGGGAAAGTTAAGAGTGACAAACAGAAATGACGAATGCCTGCGAAAAAGAGTCAAGAGTGCAGATTCCAAAAACACACACATTACAAAATACACACAGAATGGATGAAGGCCCAGGATGCGATGGCCACTTGGACCCCCTGCTCGACAGTCCGAGAGATCGGCACTCTGCCCGTGGGGAGCAGAGCTAAGGAGGTGGGGCGTGGAAAATCTCCAAGCCTCTCTGAGGTACGCTTTCAGACATCACTGTATGTTAAGGACACGAAAGGAATAAAAAAAACCCAATGGACACCGTGGGGCAGAGGAGATGGGATAGCTCGTGGCTGGTGGGACCAGCGACTCACAGCCTAAGCCGTTCCTGACAGCAAGAGGACTCGACACACCAAGCAGCCTCTCCCTCCTTGTCCAAGGGCCCTTCCAGGGCAGCGCACCCCAAGGAAGTAATGTGAACACAAGAGGGAAAGTCAGTGATAGCACCATGGTGATAGCCGCACTGGGTTTAAAAGAAGTCAGCGGGACACCTGGGTGGTGGGGGGGGTGGTCAGTCGATGAAGCATCTGCCTATGGCTCAGGTCATGATCTCAGGTCCTGGGATCGAGTCCCTCATCGGGCTCCCTCCTCGGCAGGGGTCTGCTTCTCCCTCTCCCTCTGCTGCTCCCCTTGCCTGTGCTCTCTCTCTCTCTCCCAAGTAAATAAATCTAAGAAAAGAAAAAAAAGTTAACAGCCTCAAAGCCTGACATGAGGGTCCTCAGCGGCTGGTGCCTTGACGGCATTTAGAAGGGGGTCGCAGCAGGGTCGTGCAGCCTGGCTCCTCCTCTATGCCGCGTGCCGGCCTCGGCTTCCCCACCCATAAAGCGAGCATATTACCGACTCCCGCCTTCCAGAACCACCCGGAAGCCTGGATGAGCTCCCGGTAAGCCAGGGCCCGGTCTGCGGAAATGCCCCGGCACTGCTGGCTTCGGGTGCGAGTACACCCTCTGCTTGCGGTCGTGCTCTCAGAGGCCATGGCAGGGAGAGGGAACCGACGGGGGAGAGCCTCCCGGGAGGTGCAGGGGGGATGCGCGCTGAGCCGTGGAGGAGGCCGAGGAGAGGCCTTTCCCGCCATCTCCAGGCCGGCCCCAGGCAGGCAGGCGAGGGGCAGCAGAACTTGAATCCACAGCCAGCGCCAGCGGGGCGGGGGGGGGGGGGGGGTGCGCGGTGACACCGTGTCCCCGAGGCCCCGCTCACCCTCACCCCTGCACGCACCCGCTGCCCGGAGCAGCGCTGCCCCAAACCCACGCCAGGTCTGGGCACACGTGCCCGAGCCCGGGTCTGCCCCCGGGCCACAGCGTCGGCCCGACTCCTCTCCTGCCCGCCCCCGCCCCCCGCGGCCTGTCCCTCGGGTCCCGACCGCTCACACCCAGCCAAGCCGCCCAGAGCCCGGGCCGGACCCCGCTGAGCCCGACGGAAGGAGCAAGGCAGGGTGCGTGCGCGTCTCCCTGCGGGGCTGCCGCCCACGCCATCCAGGACGCCCTGGGGGACCGCCCCTCGGCGCACACACGCGCTGCCCGGGAGCCCCTCGCCGTCCAGCCCGGGGAGGCCCCGCAGCGGCAGGCGCCACCGAGAGGAAGACTCCACAAGGCAGAGCCTGGCTGTCGCGTGACATTTTTCTTTTGCCCCATTGGTCAGAATGTGTCACATGACCCAGCCGCGCTGAAGGGGATGCTGGGAAATGTAGTCTTTATTCTTGGCAGCCATTTTATTCTGGAAGACTACTAATCTATAATATACAGGCTCCTCCATGACCTACCCCCTTGTCTCCAGCCCGACCTCGCCCATCCTCCATTTCACCGCCCTTGGGAACCCGGCAGTTCTTCACCTGCACGTCCACCCCCTACCTGGAAGGCTTCCCTACCCACTCTGCTGCCTGCATCCATCCCGCAGGCCTCCTGGGATGTCAGACCCTGGTCCTTGCCCCCCAACACCAGTGTAAACGTGGCCCCGCTGTTCTCTCCCAGAGCACAGCTGCCCGGTCGTTCCCTGGAGTTGGGGCCCTGTGCCGTGGGAGGGAGGGTGAGCACCTCCACGGTCCCGCACCTGCTGTGCCCTGGCCCACCGCCTGACAGCCCAGCCCAGCCCCGCCCGCTCCGCGCTGTTGTAGGAGCCCTGCTGTCCGCCTCTCCCGCGTTGTCAGGGTCCGCTGTGTTTGAGGATTCCTCCCCAGGGTGTGTTTCAGCGGGTTTCCAGGGGAGGGCCCGAGAATCTGCACCTGTGGTCCCTGGGCCACACCTCCGAGGAGGCTCTGATCCACTCGGTGGGGCGGAGGAGCTGGGAACCGCTTGATGACCACATCTGCTTGCTGCAGCCGTAAGGTAGAGCCGATGTGGGCAGGTGCACAGATGAATCCGGTCGTACCACCCACGGGACGCCTCCCGGGTGGAATGCTTGCTCTGTCCTTCACCGTCCACCTGGACTCTGACCTCCGGGTGCGCACACAAACCCCATCACCCCGGCTCCTGGGGGGCAGACCCCGCCCTCCCCCCCCCGCAGTCTGGCCGCAAGCCCTCCAGCACAGCAACCCCCCCCCCCACGCCTGTGGCATCTGTCACTGCCCCAGGAGCCACACTGTTCTGGGCCACCACCCCCTCCTGCCCTCCCTGTGGTCAGTTCCACAGCCCACCAGGAGCCAGGACCTTCCCCTGACCCCACTCCCCGGGCTCCTACCCGTGCCATCCTGACTCGTCCCTGGCCACCACCACCCCTCCCCGGGGACCGCCTCTCCCCCAGCCTCACTGTTTTACTTATTCACTCACCTGTCTCATTCTCTGCTGGGTCCCCCAAATTGAGAACCATGTCTGGCTCACAGAACATGCTTCGTAGGTTCCGAGAGAGGGAGAAGGACAGAGACAGCGACGGAGGTGGGAGAGGGTGCACCCTGAACTCAGGGGTCCCTTTCCCGTGCACACCCACCCCCATGAACACAGGTAACAAGGGACCCCCTCTTCTGAGCCCCTCGTGGATGAAGTCCACAAGTGAGATTACCCACATCTGTGTGCCCATCCGAGGTTCCATGGGACCCCAGGAGGCAGGTGTGGTGGGCACTAACCCGGGCTACCAGGCTGTAGCAAGCCCAGCGCATCCCAGGATGCCCCTTCATGGGCATGGCAGGAAAAGGAGCTCGCCTAAGCTGGGGCTCCCGTGGACAAAGCCGGGCTTGGGCTGAGCTTCTGGTCCTTGGCTCCCAGGTCCTGGGAAGCCTAGCCTAGAGCCTGACCGAGGCAGGCCTGAGACCCAGACACCCTAGAGCTCTCCCTAACTTAGAAGCTGGAGGAGGCCCCTCCCAGTGCTCTGGGGTCAGGGAGAGCAGGGCACAGAGACCAAGAATGGCTAGGACAGGTGGAGTGGGGACCAAGGCCTGTGGGATGGAGTAGCCCCTTCTGCTCTCCAGGCCTCTGGGACTGGTCCCTATCCTCCCCACAAGGATGGGTGTGCACAGGGGTGGGGAATGGAGGGGAGGAGCAGCCAGCCCAGAAGGCTCTGCTGGCAATAAAAGCAGATGCTACGTGAGGGCTGGGCTAGAGTGGCAGGCACACGGTGACCAGGGCTGTCTCCTGAGAAGCGGGTATGTGCATAGTCTCGTGTTCACGGAGGCGCAGGGCAAGACCGGCCCGGCTGACCCTGGGACTTTGTTCCTCATCAGGAACCAACCTGAACGTCTTCATGTCGGGGCGCTTGGCTGTCTTCCTGGCCCTGGCTCTGGCCACCCTCCCGGCTCCAGGGGCAGGGGCTCCGCTTGGAAGGAGGGGTTCCCAGAATAAGCTGCTGCTCGTGTCCTTCGATGGTTTCCGCTGGAACTATGACCAGGACGTACAAACCCCAAACCTGGACGCCATGGCGCTGGACGGAGTGAAGGCCCGCTACATGACGCCAGCCTTCGTCACCATGACCAGCCCCTGCCACTTCACCCTGGTCACGGGTGAGCGTGCGCCTCCGGCTGGGGCCTGGGGACAGGGAGGGGGCTGAGGAGGGAACCCAGTGCCTGCATGGAGCCCAGTCCTCCAGGCACCGCACAGGGACAAAGGAGACCGAGGAGGAGATGCTGTCCCTGGAGACACAGCACGGCCAAGGGGGGTCATCAGCAAGCTTCACTGTTGGCGGGAACTTACACAAGGCATCAAAATGCCCAGCGGTCCCATTTTAAACAGTGACCCCCAACCAAGGTGTCCACGCAGGAGGGCTTCTGGAGGAAGTGAGTGTGGCCGGGCTCCAGACGGGCGGGAGAGATGAACCTGAGGTTCTTGCTGTTTCCACGCCGACCCCGGAGATGCCCTCAAACCATGGCTCTGTTTGGGCTGGACGTCTAGCATGAAGGTGTCAGGAGGGCCATGCTCCCTCGGGAGAGTCTGGGGGACCCTACCTGCCACTCCCAGCCTCCGTGGCGCTTCCGTGGCCTGTCTCTCCAGCCCCAGCTGTCTCCTTGTCTTGTGAGGGTGTTCATGCACAGACACAGGGCCCACGGTGACTCAGACTGCCCTCATCCTAACCTAACTCATCATGTCGGCAATGACCTTATTTCCAAGCAAGGTCCCATGCTGAGGCTCCAGGTGACCGCGACCTCGGGGGTAGACCCGATTCAGTGCAGACATTCATCCACGTGCCAGCATTCTGTGACCGGGGCCCCCGCTGCGAGCATCTTCCCGCACGGCACCTGTTTCCTTACTAGATCATGGAGGGGGACGCGGGGGGAGGGGCACGCGGCTTAACGTCCCTCCTGCTGTAGCTTCCGGGCACGTGTGACTGTGCATCCCGCGCACAAAGTGAATTTTAGAAAAGAGCTCGTGGATGGAGCTCCGCGTGAGGCATTTAAATGTCTGGGATTCTGTTCATTAGTCCCTCCCGATAGCCATCTGGGTCGCTCCCGATCTTTGCTAAAATCCACGAGGCTACAGATGACATCGGCACACCTGTGTGCACGTTCAGCTGTAGGAGAAGCCGCTGGAAGGGGTCGTGGAGACTCGGGGCTGGAGAGGATGTGTCTGGGACCCCGAACGGGGACTCCCCCACCCCTGGCCGCGTATGGGAAAGCCTGCCCGCTTCCCTCCTGCCCTCCCACCTCCTACCTCCCCTCTGCCGTCTTCTCCCCGCAGGCAAATACATCGAGAACCACGGGGTCGTCCACAACATGTACTACAACACCACCAGCAAGGTGAAGCTGCCCTACCATGCCACCCTGGGCATCGAGAGCTGGTGGGACAACGGCAGCATACCCATCTGGATCACGGCCCAGCGACAGGTAGTGCGGGCCCCGAGCCCACGGACGGCAGTCGGGGGACAGGGGACGGGAGGACCCGGCCCAGAAAGGCTGTGACCCTGTGAGATCCCGGCCCCAGGGTCCTGGGCTGACAGCACGGAGGGGTATTAAGTGGGGCCCAGAGGGCGGTGAGTGCCGGGTGTGGATAAGCAACCGCCAGCAGGCTCCGTGGCCCTGCCCAGTCCCCCCTGCAGCCCCAGACCCGAGGGGATGGCTCCACCCTCCCGAAGGGAAGGAAAACGGCAGCACTGGGCCCCAGGCTCTGGGAGAGGGCGTCCACACAGGAAAGATAAGTTCACTCAACAAAAGGGCATCTCACAATGAAACAGCTTTCTGCCTTCCCCCTTCAGGGGGACTCCTCTCCGGGCTGGGCCACCAACTTCCAGGGGCAACGGGTCAGTAAGGGGTGGATTGTAGTGCCAAACCCAGGAATCTCTCCATCCTGCAACGCTCTGGGGGATCCCTGGCCCCAGAGGTGTGGCTGCTCTCCAACAAGGTCAAACGCAGGTTTTCAAGATGACCCCAGAATGAACTTCGGAGCCTACGCCCATCCTCTGGGCAGGGCGTCCGCTCAGGTCGGGGTCCCTTCGCTCTGGAAGGAGCTACCCGGACGTCAGGCTCATGGTCAAAGTCAGAGCCACGAGCTGGGCATGACGTGGTGCCCAGTGGAAACAGAAGGGCAGCTGGGAAGCGGATATGCAGACAGGGCAAGCTCGGACCTCTGTGGTTCCAGGGAGAGGGTCCCTAAATAAAGCCGCCATCAATGTATGCAAAGACGGATGGGTGGCCAGGCCGGAAGGGCAGGCGAGGGGACATAGGTAGAAGGGCCTGGACGAGAATATAGTCGGGAGAGGCCAGGCTCCAGGCCAGAAGGGGAGGGCTGTCCGGGCAGCTCCGCCGTGGGGACCCAGGGCCATGGTGACGATGAGGACGCTGCATATCTGGGGACATCTTTGTACCCATTATGTCACTAGTGCTGGGTCCCCTGGGCACCGGCTCCCTCCTCTATAAAATCAGTTTCACCCGTGGGAAAGTAAGAGTTATAAGAGGCCGGTGCCTGCGGCGGGAGCAGGGCTGAGTGAGCAGGCAAGAGGAGAGGCGGCAGGCAGGGGGGCAGCAACGACTGCGACAGGAGCTGGTGGGGGCGGGGGACAAGCCCAAGGAGGCCTGTGGCTTTAATGCCCCCTTCCCTGGCAGGGCTTAAAGACTGGCTCCTTCTTCTACCCCGGCGGGAACGTCACCTACCAAGGCACGGCGGTGACCCTGAGCCGGAAGGAAGGCATTCTGCACAACCACAAGGACGAGCAGGAGTGGAGGGCCAACATCGATGTGGTGATGAAATGGTTCACTGACGAGGGCCTGGACCTGGTCACGCTCTACTTTGGGGAGCCAGACTCCACGGGCCACAAGTACGGCCCCGAGTCCCAGCAGAGGAAGGACATGGTGATGCAGGTGGACAGGACGGTGGGCTACCTTCGGGACAGCATCAGGAGGAGCGGCCTGGAGGGCAGCCTGGACCTGATCATCACGTCCGACCACGGCATGACCACCGTCCACAAGCAGGCCCAGGACCTGGTGGAGTTCCACGCGTTCCCCAACTTCACCTTCAAGGACATCGCATTTGAGCTCCTGGACTACGGGCCCAACGGGATGCTGCTCCCCAAGGAAGGGATGCTGGACAAGGTGTATGAGGTCCTCAAGGACGCCCACCCCAAACTCCACGTCTACAAGAAGGAGTCCTTCCCCAAGTCCCTCCACTATGCCGGGAACCCCAGGATCACCCCACTGCTCATGTACAGTGACCCTGGCTACGTCATCCACGGGGTGAGCTCCTTGCCCGACACCGGGCTCGGGCAGGCTCCTCCACTGGGTGGCTGGGTCTCTCCCTTGCTGTAAAAAAGCTCCCCCGTACCGCTCACGAGTCCCCACTTGGAGGGGCACCGGCCACCAAAGGGACACACCCATCACTGTGCGATCAGTATGAGTGTGTGCGTGTGTACATGGGCGTAAACGTGTGAGATCTGTGCGCGTGTGGGCGACGTACATGCTTCGTGTGTGTGTGTTGTGTGAAAGCATGGACGTGTGTGTGTTTGCATGTAGGGTAAAGCGTGGGAAGATGGGCTGTAAGAAATGAGAAATGAGAGAGCCAAGGGATGCCAAAGGGGAAGGAAGATGCAGGGGGTAGGGGAGAGGGCCTCGGGGAAGGAAGTGCCTTCCTCGGGGAAGGGGTGCACCTGGGTTAGCAGGTCTTCCCAGAGGCCCTCCCTCGGGCCGCAGGTCTTTGGAGGCTCAGAATTCAGAGACACCCTCCTGCCCCCACCTCCGTCAGTGTGAACTCCTCCAGGGGTCTTCTGCCCCCACAGGGGCGCTGCTGGTGGGGAGGGCAGGGGTGGGCTGGGAGCCCCCACAGAGGCTCAGGACCTCCCCTCCCCGGCAGAGACTGAACGTGCAGTTCAACAAAGGAGAGCACGGTTTCCACAATGAGGCCATGGACATGAAGACCATCTTCCGGGCTGTGGGCCCCAGCTTCAGGAGGGGCCTGGAGGTGGAGCCCTTCGAGAGCATCCACGTGTACGAGCTCATGTGCCATCTGCTGGGCATCGTGCCCGAGGCCAACGACGGGCTCCTGAGCACCCTGCTGCCCACGCTCTGGGAAGCCAGCAACAGGCCCCAGAGCACCCCCTCGGGTAAGGGGCTGCCCATCAGGCACAGTGCCAGCAGCCTCTGGGACCGCCTTTCCTTTCCTTGTCCTGCACCCCGGAAACATCTCAAGCCCCTGGCAGCGACGAGGGGAGAGCAGGTGGATGTGAGCAGCCTTGGGGAGCCCGAGGGCCAGAGAAGCAGGCGCTTTGCCCACAGGACAGGCCCCCTGGTGAAGTCCACCTCAGGGCTCCTGGCTCCCCGTGACCTGCTCTCCCGCGTGGCCGTGGGAGGGCTCCTTCCCAGAGTCTTCCTCTATGGGCCTCCCCCGAACACGCTCTCACCCCCACCCTGGCCCAACCCCAGGCCAGAGGTCACCTGGGAGCTGACAAGACACAGACCCCAGTGGGGGCCTGGCTGGAGGTGTGTGGGCCCTGCTCCTCAGGGGAGGGGCCTGGTGAGAGCCGAGGTCAGGGGGCTTGTGGGAAGTTGGGGGAGGCACTGGGCCCACCCTCGAGGAGCAGAGCGGGGATAAGTGACATGCTCCGCTTCCCTCGTTCACTGGGTTCTCTGAATTTCCTCAGGCTCTGCTCTCCTGCCAACTGGCCGGCCCCCCGTGGTGACAGGACTGCTGGTAGCTGTGATGCTTCTCGCCAAGGTCGCATAATGGTCTGTCGCTGGAGATCAGAAGCCCAGGAGGCCAGGGGAGGTTGGGCCTGATGCCCCCATTAGTAACCTGGGCCCCCCCAACCGCAGCAGAAGGGAGTCAGTGCTCAAGAACCCCCCACAAGTCCCTTCCAGCCGCTCTGCTCTAGGCTTGGAGCGGGCCTTTCCGAAGCAGACAGACAGCCCATGAGACTCAGACCCTCCCCAGCCTCCTCCCTGCCTGCCTGCAAGGCCTGCGTGCTCCGCCGGGGATGAGGCAGACCCTAGAGGCCATCGGGGTCAGGTGTGTGGGGAGAGCTGCAAGGGCGGGCGTCCCCAGAATATTCCAGAAGCCAGCTCAAAGGACCCGGCGTGCCGTGCGACAACCCCATCTTGTTTCTGCCCTGGGCGCCATGGCCCTCCAGCCGAAGCAGAAGCAAATCATTCATTCCCTCTCAAGCCACACGGTGGGAGCCAGCTGGGCGACGGGCTCTGGGCTGGGCTCTAGGGATCCGCAGTGAATTTCGTAGCCTGGGCCCTGCACCAGAGGCTGTGATCCAGGGGTCACGGAGAGCGGACAACAGGGACAGGACAAACCAGTGTGCGAGGTGACAGACCAGGTCAGGTGTCGCAGCAGAGAGAGGACTGGGCCACAGCGGGGAGCAGGAGGCCGGAATGAGGAGGCTGAGCCAGCCTCGCCCAGCCCAGGGATCAAGCTCCTGGCAGGGAAGGCAAGTGAGAGCCCTAGGGCGGCCCTGCCCCTCCTATTTGTGGACAGGAAGGGAGGCCTGGGCTTGGAAGCAGGTAAGGGAGGATGGGGACGTATGAGCTCTCTGTGGTCGGAGGGAGCAGTCTTCCCGGACAGGCAGTGGGGACCTCCAGCCAAGTGACACGGGGATACACCTGATTCGACACCAACGATTGAAGGAGCACAGGACCGCAGGCTCGGGAGGAGGGACGGCCACTTAGGACAGACCCCCGGGGGTCTGGGCAGAACATCTTGGGAGCAAAGTGGAGATGGTGCAAAACGGGTGGTTTCGAGAGACCTCTTAGGGCTGCCTTTCTAGGGGGACACAGATGGGATACGAAGGCTGCATCGACAGCTCGGGGCCTGGGCTATCCGGGGAGGGACAGAGCTGCTCACTGAGACCCAAGGAGAGACAGGGACATGGCAGCCCGGGTGGGACAGAGGCCAGAAGACAGAGGGGCTGCAGGGCTCTCGCCACCAAACCATAGGGCTGGATGGGACCAGGGAGATGATTTGGCGGAGCCCCTCTGACCCAGATGGGACGCTGCAGCCTAAGCGGTTAGCTGGCTGGCCCGGGACCCTGGAGGTGACAGTCTGTGTCTGAACCCTGGTTTTAAACCCTCGTGTGGAGTCCTTTCAGCTGCAACCAGAAGCAATAAAAGACCTGACGTGTGGCCTTTCCCATCTCTGCTGTGTAAATGCTCCCACTGAGGCCAGTTTCAAGCTCCCAAAGCAAGGCCACAACGGCCAGGTCAGGAAAAGACCACAGAGTCGGCCCTCGGGCCAGAGCCCATGCCCGGCATGGAGCTCAGAGGCCTGGGGACAACCTCCCCCGTGGGGTTGGTCATCGCGGCTGCTGAACCTGGGTCCGAATGAGGGCTGCTGCCTTGTGGGCCCCGTTCTTCCCTCCAGACACAGTGCCTGAAGGACTTGCCCTTGCCTGAGAAACGGGGCAGCCCGTCACCGTGACCTAAGATCCTCCCTCCGCAGGCGGGAGCAGGCAGAGCGTCAGGGGAGACAGAGGCACCCTTAGGCTCGCCTCCCTTCCCGGTCTGCAGTGTGCATGGCACGACCCCCAGCCAGGCCCAGGAAAGTGCCCCCAGCCCGGGAAGGGTGTAACCCCCCAGCCATTCCCCACCCCACCCTCACCCCACCCATGCGTGCCCTCCTGGGTCCAGCGGAGGGTCTGGAGTCCCCACAGGGACCCACCTTGGTCACAACCCAACATGAGTGTCCTGGCCCCTGTCTGCCCAGCCCGCTTCCCACCACTCCCAACCTCCCGGCACCCCTGCTTCCTCTCCTCCCCCAGACCCGGGCCTTGGCCTGCCCAGCCCTTCCCCTCAGCCAACACATACTTGTTCTTCCAGGCCTGCCTCTTCCAGGAAGCCTCCAGAAGCCGCCCTCTCGCGGTGTGAGTCTGCTGGACACGGATGAGCCGGTCTCCGCACTTGCTCTCAGACCTCAGCGTCCCCCAGCCCCGGCCCATGCTCAGTCGTTGCGGTGCTGGCCGTAGGGCCGCTGCCCAGGTTTAGGGCTGGGAACGCACTGGGTCCGCCTCTCCCCGCCCGCTCCCCCTCCTCCCCCGCTTCCCGCAGGCCCCGCCCCAGGGCCGTGCGGTCCGCGGCCACGCGGGGGCGCTCGAGAGTCCCGCGCGAAGGTCCGGACCTGACCTGGCTCCGACCGACCCCCGGACCGGCCCAGAACGAGCCCCGCTTTGGCCTTCGGCTCTGGCGGGGGCGCAGGGCAGGCGGCGGGGACGCTTGGCCTGGTGGAGTCCGCACGCCTCTGCCCTGGTGGCCGCCCCGCCGGGGCTGCTGCTGCTCCAGGGGACGAAGGACAGGGCCGCGGTTACTTGCAGGCCTCCTGCTCCGGAGCCTGCGGGGATTTCCAGCAGCCTTAGCCGCTGGCCCCAGGTGTGACGGGTTCCCCACGCCTCAGGCCACCTCACAGCCCCTGGGGAGCCCCTGCTGGGCCTGCCAGGAGAGGAGACAGTGGGGGATGGGAAGGCTCTTTGCAGACGGACAGGGAACCAGAATCCCTAAGCCACATGGTTCAAGCAAAAAAATGAAAATAATAAAACAGGTGCGAACACCGCAAACAGTAGACCACCCTGGGTGGGGTGAGGGAGGGAAGGGGAGAGAGTGTGTGCGACCCACGGCTCTAGACATACAAATGCCACTGCAGAACCCTCAGCACGGAAGGGCAGTGACCAGCTGCGGACAGGGCACTGGCTCCCAGGCTGGGAGCAAGAGCGGGGTCATGCGCCCCAGAGTCTGAAAACGGAGCCAACCAGAGCATCTCAGGGCTACTTTATTTTTTTAAGATTTTTTTATTTATTTGCCAGAGAGAGAGAGAGAGCACAAGCAGGGAGAACAGCAGACAGAGGGAGAAGCGGGCTCCCCAGTGAGCAGGAGCCCCATGCGGGACCCAATCCCAGGACCCTGGGACCATGACCCAAGCTGAAGGCAGACGCCTCACCGACTGAGCCACCCAGGCGCCCCTCAGGACCACTTTCTAAGAGCACGGGCTCTGCAGCGGAGCCGCTCCTACTCCAGTCTGTCCCCACTCACGGGCTGCGGCGTTGGGGAGGTTAGCCTTCCCCAGCCTCTGTCGGCTCATCTGAAAATGCCGGGCAGTAAGGAGGGCGCACCGCCCTGAGATGGGCCCAGGATAACGCGTGGAGGCAGTTGCCCTCTCGGTGTAGCCACGGGCAAGGCTGAACTGATGTGGGAGCCGCTGACCAGTCCAGGCAGCTCTTAGGAACAATCCAGGTGTAGCAGCAGGAGACATCCCTCGAAGGTTTGAGGTCCGCCTAGTCCCAGCCAGCGAATCGCACCTCCCCTCCCTGGGCCTCTTCTACCTCTGACTTGCTCTCCACCTCCTTCTCCAGAACCCATCCCCACCCACCCTCCGTAGCTGCCTGACCATCTGCCCAGGCCCGGAGTCCTGCCTCGCCTTAACGGCCCTGGGTCCCCGGCCCTACAGCCAATGATTTTCCTAGAAGGAGTGTCCCACCCCCAAGGCAGCCTGTGCCCGGAGACCCAGACCAACCTGCCTGCTCACACCAGCTTCCGACTGGACGGGCCTGGATCCCATCTTGGCCCTTGGGAATTGGCACCACCTGGCTGGAGGGGACCAGCAGGAGTAGCCACGTGCCTTCACACCTGGAGGGCAGTGAGCACACACCAGTGCCCGTGTAACTACCACGACCCACGGGTCTCCAGAAGACGCCCCACCTTCCCCCAAGAGCCCACCGTGAGGTTGCTCAGCCTCGTCTACTTTCCAGGGGATAGGACGACAGTTATCTTAAGAATCGCTGGATGACTTTTTCAAAGAGAGGAACACTCAGGGCTGCGTGCTGTGAGGCTAAATTTCCCATCTGTGCAGCTGTGGGGCTGACGTGTGCACAGAGGGCCACCCTGAGCTCCCCCCACCACCACCACGCTCACTAATGCAATGCTGTGCAGCCACGGGCAAGTCGCTAAACTCTGGGCCATGTCCTCACTGTAAAATCAGGACTGATGGCTGTATGGTCTCCTAGGCTGGTCCTAACGATTAAACGGGTTATTATTTGCAGACCTCTCAGAACCGGACTTGTAGAAGGCCCATGCGTTCTGCTTTAGGACTTAATGAAGAGACGGGCAGTGGCTAGGGAGAAAGTCACAGCTGCTCTCCTCTCAGTTCCCCTCCACGCCTTCTTGCTTCTCTCACAGAAAGTTTCAGGTCTGTGACCCAAAGCCTTCAGCACCTTGCCGAGGTAGCACAGAGAGGGCCAGGCTCGGAGCTGGGGTGGGCCACGTAACAAAGGGTGGTCTCGGTCTCCTTGCCTTGTCTTCATTTTCATGATCACCTTCAGTTTGCAGTGAGTGATTTT